AAATGTAACATTTTCAATGAGAACTTTCCTGACCACGCTTTGTTCATTGTCCAGCACTGTTCACTCCACACACTTCCTATGCTTTTTCCCTACCTTATTTCAGCACCCCACTTCACCCTTGCTATTGTCAGCCATGAATTTAACACTTTACTTATGTATCCAATAAGCAGGGATTTTCACATTTGTTCGCTGATGTATCTGTATTCTAATACCATGAACAATGTCTGGCACATGGTTAGGACCCAGTGAAAATTTGTCGAATGAATTAAAACAATGAGCCCAGATTTTCATTTTCTGAATTGCTAAGTTAATTCTTTAGTGAGAAGTTGAACATTGTTATGAATTGATAATTCATTTTTTACTCCTCTCTTCATTTTGTTCTCCTCCCCACTTTGTCAATTTTAGCAGTAAAATAATGAAATAAGAGATTTTGGTAGAATACTAAAATATGACTCATCCACTTGCTTTAACTTCTGGGTATTCTCCTCTTTTGTAATTTTGCCTTTCATTTATTATGAATAATTCTTAGCTTCATTTGTGGAAAACTTACAGAAGATTTAATCAGTGGTGCTAAAAATGTTATAGTGTGTCTATTTTTACATTAACTATGCCCTAAATTTCACCTGTTTCTCTTTCTTTTTCTGTGAAGTCAACTGAATAGTATCAATGCCATTCATTAAACAGATATTATATATTTTAGGAAAATGTATCTTGTTGGCATGTTATATATCCGGTGTGGTCCGATAATCTGAAGAAAGAAATGGTATCATTAATTGTTATCTTTAAATATTGGTAACTTAAGCAGTCTAGTGCCTTTTTGACGTTAGACTTTCTTTCATCCTGGTAACTAGACATACTTTCTTCTGTCTCATTCTATCATCACTTGTCGATCATGATGTTGAACAGTGGGCAATATGTTAAATGTAGATGCTCTTCGGTTTCTTGCTTCACGTCTCTGGTCATTTCATTCTAACTTTTCAAAGGGAGTTTACAAAGTATTACAAAGATTTCAGGTATTAATTCTTTCAAGCCTGTGTGCCCGTGTCCACATTTTCCCGCACTGCAGATCCCTGGATAAGTGCACCCACTGCAGGCTCCACAGGTCAGTCACACTACACACTGCTGTGCCATCCCTTCGTGGATCTATTTCTGTTTGTTGTGTTTTCACCCTTTCTGCCACCAAACCTAGAAACCACAGATGCATCTTTGACATTTTCTTTAGCCCCTCCCTTCCTTGCCACACAGCTGATCAATTCTAAGCCCTTTGAGTTCTGTTGCTGAAATATTCTCTAATCTGCTGTTTCTTACCATTGACAATGTTTATTTATTGATGTGGGTGACCCCCTAGACTCCTCCACCAGTCTTAACTGACCTATCACTACCTTTTGGTTTCTCCTTTATTCTCTACTTTTCATATTTGTCCTAAAGAATGTTTTCGTAAACAAAGACCAGGGTGTGCCAATGACACTACTCACTAATGTACTCATACTGAAAGAAAAACCATGTTAATATGAGCATGACATTCAAGATCTTTCTATTCTTTCCTTTAAAAAATATTGTTTATTAAGCTGAGCATGGTGGCACATACCTTTAATCCCAGCACTCGGGAGGCAGATGCAGACATCTCTGTGAGTTCAAGGCCAGCTTAGTCTACATAGTGAGTTCCAGGCCAGCTGGGGCTACAGGGAGATCCTGTCTCAAAAAGACAAAAAAATTTTTTTTATATGTACGAGTATTTTTTCTGCATGTACATCTGTGTACTAGATGTATGCAACACCTGTGAGGGCCAGAAAAGGGGGCAATAGATTTTCCTGGAACTGGAGTTATGGACAGTTGTTAGCTACCATGTAGGTGCTGGGAATTGAACCTCAGTTCTCTGGAAGAACAGCCATCTCTCCAGCCCCACTTTCCTTTAAAAAAATTGTGGTACTAGAGATTGAACTTAGGGCCTCGTGTGTGCTGGGCAAGTAGTATACCACTGAGATACATCCCTAACTCCCAAAATCTTTCTAATTTGAGTCTGGACTTATTATATAAACTTCCTATTTAATTTTCTCCCTAAAGCAAAGAACAAGTACTTAAGTAGAAAGCATCACTTGGAGACTTAGTTCCTTTTCTTAGGCTTCTCTGCTTCCTAGAATTTTCTTCACATGTCTGGCTTTCTCTGCTTTCTTTATCTCTCTAGCACAGCTCAGGTCCAGAAAAACCTGGTTAGTGAAACTATCATCCTTGAAAGCGAGCTGTTCCCTTTACTCTGATACTAAATTACCTTATTCACGACCAGTTTCACACCCTATAATGTTACCATAATGAATACTGTGTGTGTCCCAAACTCATGAGTTCTTTAAGGAGAGCAGCAGTGTCTTTTTTAATCTTAGCATCCCATGCATGAAGCAAAAGTCCTGGCATTTAGAAGATTTAGCAAATATTTGATGAAAGAAAAGGAATAGAAAGCAAATTTATAGAAACTGAACTTGAATCAACAGAGTGAAATATTGCAGATGAATATGAAGGGGAGTAAACACAGGAAGTTAATCCTGGGTGTTTCCTATGAAAGATCTTCCCTTTCCAGTAGCTCTTATCAGTATCCCCATCTTGTTCCACTTGATGAAACTAAATGATCATGTCTCAGAGAGCAAGAAGTATTCATTTGTTATTGTCTTCCTCAACGTCATCAACGAATATTTTAGAAAGAGCTTTGTATGCTAGGAACTAGTGACAGTTTTCTTCAAAGGGAAGATCATATATGATATTCTTTAGAAATTACTTAACAATCCCAAGAAAATGAACAAATTAACTCTCATTCCCTTACATGTCTCAGAAAATGTCATTAATTCTCAAATGGAATCATGTTCAATTACCAAAGACTGACATAGGCAGGGCATTTAAGGCCTAGTACACCCAGTACTGGCTCTCAAACTGCACACTCAAGTTTATAGAAAAGTAGTCACAATGCATCTTTTAATTCTGGCCAGTACTTTTTAATCAGGTAGATCTGTGCTGTGGTTCAGACGCCACTCATTGTCATAAATTCTACATCACCCCAGAGTGACTGCTGAGAACCACACATAAGAGACACTGATCGAGCCCCAGTCCTCATTTTGCAGGTGAAATGACCAAATTAAACAGATGTAGTGAGTGGTCAGACCTAAATTTCAGGCTGTTTTCCAGTCTCTCATCTTCCTCTACTTTCAGGAGGACTTTCTTTCTGATCTTCATGTTGGTCAATTCAGAAACCTGTTCTTCCTGCAAATTTTTATTCTTGCTTTCATTTTCTGTCTTAGTTCAGTCTCCGTCTCCCCAAATAAAGCTTCTTTCCCTCGCTTTTAGAAATGAATGGGTTATCTCTTTGGAGAAAAGCCAAACACCCCTAGTCCTAATCTTTCTATCCTAAACTGTGCTGAGTGTTTGTTTGCCTCTCCAATCAATTTGTATGCACATAAACGTTTCACATCATGACATCCACATTCCCTTTCATAATTACAGACAGCACTATCAGCTCACTTTCCTATCAACATAGTGCAGATGTGCAACAGGGTTTATTTAACAACCGAAAAGCTGCATCAGTGTTGAGGGTGGGCAAGAGAAACAAAGCCTTCTATCCCCTTTTGGGCTTTGTTAATAACGATGGCTCAGTTGATAGTGCTTTTCTGAGAACAAGGGAATCTTGATGGAAAGAATCTGCCCATCCCCATCAGACCATGGCAAGTAGTGACTGGGGACAGCTTTCCTTCTGGGGACAGTTAGGGGATAAGGGCTTCTGACCCTGTCACTGCTGCTAATTCTAGGGAACATTGTTTCTGCTGTGTGTCTCTGACAGCACAACTCTCATCACTGTCTCCTGAGCAGAGCCCACTGAGCTCATTATATTATTATGGCCTTACTGTCCCAACCAACGTCTTTCAGTTGCTTCAGTTGCTGTCTCTTTATCCTCTTTAAGATAAACAACAAGGAGCTGATTTGTTATCTAATCACTAATTAAAGTGAAGTGCTTCAAATACACAGAAGAGCTTAGCAATGAGAACAAATTGTCCTGTCCTCCTACCCAGCTTCAATTTCTTCCAATTTATTTTAGTAAGTAAAACATTATAGGCATAGATTTTTGTCTATTTTTCTCTAATACCTTTTATCTTTCATCTTAAAGGGATCTATTTCACCAAAAACTTGTTTCTTATTCATGTTTTGCCATGTAATTGTGTTCTAACACTTGGAGTGCTTTTCATGTGTATATAGTTCTCTTCCCTTTTCCATTCAGTATTGTTCTAGGACTTTATTCCTATTGTAACACAGATCTTTACTTAACACTTTGTAACATTCCATTGTACATATTTTATTATGAATTCCTGGACATCTCTTTATTTCAATATTAACACCACTGTGCTGTAATGAATCTTTGTGTGCTTCGTTTGGTGACTGTTTAAGAGTTCTTCTTGGATGTCTTCCAGGAATGTAGTCATGGTATTAAATGACACAACATACATAACCACATCTTACACAAACCAGGGTTCAATTCTACATACCTAAAGCAGTGCATGAAGTAGCTCATGCTCCACGTGTCCTGACATTTGAAATTGTTGAATGTATGTATTTCAGTCAATGAAAACTAAGTTAATTTTGTTTTGAGTACTGCAACTGAGTTCAATATAGATTGGCCTTTTTTGGGTTCTTTTCTGTGTGTTTCTTGTTCACAGTTTTCTTTTAAAATGCCTTTAATTTGTTCCAATTTTCTGAATATTTGGAATATTGATTTTTTTGTCATCTGTGTGAAAGGCAAATGTGTTACATGTGATACTTGATTAGTGTTTTCAAAATACTTCTTTTCTCTATTTTCTTTCCTTCTCCTTGACAGTGTTTCTTCATGTTGCACGGGCTGGCCTTGAACTTCTTGATCAACCTCCTGCCTCAGCCTTCTGAATAGCTAGGGCCACAGGTATGTGCCATTATATCCAGCTCTGAGCAACTCTGAGTATAAGCAGAAATAGCACAGAAGGCACAGAGGAATACTTACCTGGCAGCAGGGGTACTATGATCAAGATGTGATTTTCCCAGGGCAAGGCTTATCATTGCACTTTGGTTGTGCTGACCTCTGTGATTTCCCCAGACATAGGAAAATGGACTAATTGGTGGTAGTGAGGGACTGAATTTGCACTCTCTCCTGATTAAAAAAAGAAGAAAGGAAGAAAGGAAGGAAGGAAGGAAGGAAGGAAGGAAGGAAGGAAGGAAGGAAGGAAGGGACAGATGGCTCCTTTGCTCCATCTCTGCCAGTACAGTTTTGTTTTTAAAATTTTTTATTTATTTTAGTTTTGAGAATTTCATACATAAGTATTGTCTTTGCATTATTTCCATCCTTCCAGCCCCCCACCAACTCCTCCCATGTCCCCAATTCCCTCTCAATCTCTTGTCCTCTTCTTTGATTACACTTATATACACACATTTATAAATTTTATATGTGTGGCACGGAATCCATTTAGTGGTGCTTGTGTGTACCTGTGTTTAGGGCTGTCCATTTGGGATTAACTCCCAGGGAGTTAGTCCCTAGAGAAAATGGATTCTTCCTCCCTCAGCATCCATTGATTGCCTGTATAGCTCTTCATCTTGAGGTGGTACCCTGTGACATTCCCCATACCCACCTTGGTATGTCAACTGATTTTGTCATTATGCAAATCTCATTAGACTACCATACTGTGGACAGTTCATTGTTGTAGCTTTCCTATCATGTCTAGAACGCATTAACTAGCAGCAGGTGTCTTATCCCTCTGGCTCTTACATTCTTTCTGTCCCCTCTTCCAAGATGCTCCATGAGCCTTAGGTGTAGAGGTTGCATTGCAGATGTGTCACTTAGAGCTGGGGACCTCACAGTCACTTGTGCTCTGCATTTGACTAGTTGTGGAACTTTGTAATAGTCTCAATCTGTTGCAAAAAGAAGTTTCTTTGATGGATGGTGAGAGGCACACTTGTCTATAAATATAAGGAGATGCATTTAGAATATAGTAAGAAATTATGTTGGTCTAGAGAAGTGACAGCAATTTTTTTCTGTAGGATCTATGATCTCTTTAGTCATGTGCACTTGGCTGTGTTTATAGTATCTGATTTCCCTCCCACTAAGCAGACCTGAAGTTCAGTTAGACAACTATTGATCATCCCAAGAAAAAAGTGCCACTACTGCACCAATAGAGATTGTTTGCTGGGCTGGTCATTTTTGTGGTTCATAGACTTTGTAGCTGGGTAGGAACACTGATGAATTTTTCTCCCTTGGCAGCTTTGTACCTGATACTGCGAGAGCTAGTCTTCAAGGAGGAGGTTCCAGGTTAGTTCCAGCTCAATTTCTTTAAGTCCTATGTTTAAAGTATGTTGTGTCTTCAGCAATAGCATCTTATCTTGAAGTTCAAAAAGGCAATCAAGGGCTGAGGTACTAGTCTGTATTGTTTTGGGAGTTTCTTGGACTACCCGTACCAACAACTCAAAGGGAGGTTTCTTATGCCTGGCACTGTGATTTTTGTTGTATAACCATCAGCTGCACACACACACTCATATTTATATTATATATAGGTTTTTCAGTAGGCATATTAATATTACACTTCCCCTTGGTGTTTAGGTATTATTTATCTCTCTTTCATTTCTCTGCTCTTGTATAGCCCTCTCTATTTTCTCCCAAGTTAAAGTAGCTTCATTTTACCCATGTTCTCCTTGATAACTCCTGTTTCATACTATCGCTCTCTATTGAGCTCCTTCTTCCATTTTCCCCTCTTGGGTTCTTTCTATTTTCCTGGCTTCTGTGGTTATATCAGGATATATACTCACATATGAGGATTTGGAGTTAGGAGTCACAAATGAGAGAGAACATGCATTGCTTATTTCTCTGAGTCTGGTATACCTCACTTAGTATCACTTTCATGATTGTGTTTTTCTTTATGACTGAGTAGAACTCTACTGTGAAAATACACTACTTTTTCATTATTCGTTCATCAGCTGAGGGACATTTAGGTTTCCGTCTACTACTTACTATGAAAAGAGCAGCAACAAACATGGCTGAGCAAGTATCTCTGTAGTAGGACATTGAGTCCTTCAAGTGTATGCCAAAGAGTTGTCTGGCTGGATCATATGGTAGATCTAGTTTCAGTTTTTAAAGAGTTCTCCATACTGATTTTCCCAGCGGCTGTACAGTTTGTAATGCTGCCAGCAGTAAACGATGGTTTTCCTTTGCCACATCCTTGCTGGCACTTGTTGTAAATTGTTTTCTCGATTTTTGCCATTCTGCCTGGAGTAAGATGAGATCTTAAAGTAGTTTTAATGGAATTTCCCTAATTCCTAACAATGTCGAACACTTCAAGGAATTTCTTAGCCATTTTTATTTTTTCTTTTGAGAACTCTCCATTCAGATCTTCAGCCAATTTTTAAATTAGGCAAGGTGTCTCTCTCTTCCTTTCTTCTTTCCTTCCTTCCTTCCTTCCTTCCTTCCTTCCTTCCTTCCTTCCTTCTTTCCTTCCTTCCTCCCTCCTTCCCTCCCTCTCTCCCACCTCACTCCTTCCTTCCCTCCTTCCTACCTTTCTTTCATTCTTTTTGTGACATGGCTTCCCTGTTGGCCTGGAACTCACTACGTAGATCAGGTTGGCCTCCATTTCACAGAGATTGGCCTGCCTCTCCTCCTGAGTACTGGGGTTAAAGGCCTGCACCACCATGCCTGACAATTTTTTTATTTTTTGAGTTCTTGATATATTCTGAAAATTAATCCTCTATCAGGTGTATAACTGTCAAAGACTCTTTCTCACTCTGCGGCCTTCTTCCTTACTCAATTTGTTGTTCCTTTGCCATACAGAGGCTTTTTAGTTTAATAAGGTCCCATTTATTATTTGTTGACCTTAATTACTGAGTGAATGAAGTCTGATTTAGAAAGCTCTTTCCTACACTTATATTTTGTAGGGTGCTGCCTATGAATTCTTCTAACAGTTTTAGCATTTCAGTTTCACATTGAGGTCTTTGATCCATTTGGAGTTTGTTTTTGTACAGGATGATACATATGGATCTAATTTCATTCTTCTACATGTGGAGATCAGTTTTCCCAGCACCATTTATAGAAGATGCTGTCTTTCCTCTAGTGTATATTCTTGGCAGCTTTGTCAAATATCAGGTGGCTGTAATTGTTTACACTCACATACTACACTCACATTTGAGTTTTCTAACCTGTGTCTTTTGATTGGAGAATGGAGGCCCTTGATGTTTAAAGTAATTATTGAAAGGTGTGTATTGGTTATTGTCATTTTATTTTCTGTTCCTGTTTTTAGTCCTATTTTGTTTTTCCATAATTATAGCTTCATTTGTTTTCTTTTCATAGCCTCTTGTGTATGGCTATTCTTTTCTTCAGTCCTTTGTATTGCTTCTAGTGTTCTCTATAGGGCTGGTTTGGTGGGCATGAATTTTTTTGACCTACTTATATCATGGAAGATTTTTCTTTCTCCTTCATCTGTGATAGATAGCTTTGCTGGGTAAAGAAGTCTGGGTTGGCATCTGTGGTCATTTAGAACTTGAAATTCACTGCTCCAGGCTCTTCTGGATTTTAAAGTTTATATTGAAAATTCAACTATAATTCTGGTGGGTTTTCCTTTATGTGTTACTTGTTGTTTTTCTCTAGCAGCTTTCAGTATTCTCTCTTTGTTCTGTGTATTTGGTATTTTTACTATGATACGCCGTGGGAAGTTTCTTTTCTGGTTTTTTATTTGGTGTTCTGCATGCTTCTTCTATCTGTATGGGTATGCATTTCTTTAATTTAGGGAAGTTTTCTATAATCCTGTTGAAGAGCTGTCAATGCTATTAACTTGAGATTCTTCTTTTCCCTCTATGCCTATAATTCATAGTTTTGATCTTTTCATGATTTTCCTGTGTTTTGTCAAAATTTTCTTATTCTTTGCTTGAATGGCCTAATTGTCTAGCTTTTTCTTCCAGTTTTGATATTTGCTTTCCATTTGATTCATTCTGCTGATAAGTGTCCTGTACCAAATCTATTTTTTATTTCTGTATTTTATGGTACTTTGCTTATTAGGAAAAGATTGTTCCTTCAGGGGCTGACTAATTCATAAAGACAGTAAACGACTCTCTTGTGAGTGTGCCTGTCCTAGACACACCACCAGTCACAAGCTGACAATTTCCAAACAGTTTCTTTATAGAACTTTTGCATGTACTGTCAACATATCCTTGCTCAAGCCACAATGATCCAGGTTTGAGACATGTCAGGACTGCTCCTATATCCCAGAGAACACTACAATTTCCTGTATGTCAATCCTAAATCTGTGTACCTTGCCCTGTCTGTTTCTTCCTGTTCAAGTCACTCAAGGCTTTTGTACATGCATTCCCTATTCCCGCTCTCCTGACTGACCTCATGTTCCCTGTGTGGGGCTGTTCATGGTCTGCCATGTGCCTGCTGCTCCAGGATCTGAGAGTATAAAAACAGCTTCTTTATGGCAGTCATTTCCATGTCTGAATGTCTTAACATATCTGATTAAAACAAATCCTTGTACATTTAAAAATATGTGTAGTGGCATCTTATTGTTGTTTTAATTTGCAGTTTCATACTGATATGTAATGTTGAACATATTTTCATATGCTTATTTGCCATCTGTATATCTTTGATGAGGTGTCTGTTCAGATCTTTTGCCCATTTTTTAATTGGATTGTTTGCTTATTGTTGAGTTTTAAGTGTTCTTTGGATATTTTGATTCTAAATCCTTTATCAGATATGTGTTTTGAAAAGATTTTCTCCCAGTCTGTGGCTTGTCTTTTTATTCCTTAAACAAGTCTTTGGCAGAGCAGAAGTTTCTAATTTTAATGAAATCCAGCTTTCAGTTCTCTCTGTCTCTCATGTATTGTGCTTTTAGTGATGTATCTAAAAGCCATTGTCAAGCCCAAGGTCACTTGGTTTTTCTCTTATTTTTGTCCTCTAGAATTTTAATAGCATTTAATTTACTTTTTCTTTTGCAGTTAGGTTTGTGCTTCATTGGAAGTTACTTATTTATATTTTTGTGAGAGTGGTAAGGTCTGTGGTTAGATTAATTTTCTTACGTGTCAATGCCTGGTACAATTTGCAGTAGACTAGTCTTTCTCCACTGAAAATGTTTTGTTCCTTAACCAAAGGCTAGTCGACAGTATTTGTGTGCATGTATTC